TTTCTACTATAAATAGGATGCGAGGTGTTAGATAATTTTAGTTTACCTGAGCGGAATCTAATTTAGTGCTGAATTATGTACACATCGAAACTAATTTCAAACGTGGGCGAATAAGAAGACGTAACGCAATTAGTTGTGCATTATTACATTTGGGAATGTACCCGTTGGCCAAAGCCTAGCAATGTTCGCTGCTTTCAGAAATCTGCCGCCTTCCTTGAACGGGAAATGATCATTCGGTAATTGTTGCCGGATCTGTTTGTCTAATGCTCCGAGCGTGTAATAGCTCCCTTTGAGCTCGTCCTTTTAACGAGGTTAAAGCTTCCTGTATCTGAAGGTACAGGATAATCGTGTTATAAAAGCTATCTTGTAGCCTCACTCTTACGGCAGCTTTAATTCTCCCTCGCCGCGACACTAAGATACAAAACTAATTGCAGAAATTATTTTCTTGGGATAAATCGGGCGCGCTTTCTACCAATGGCGGATTTAGTACTTCAGAAGCCTTAAGTACGACCCTTGCTTTGTTCAGCTTTGTGTTAGTTCGGCAGAGCCGAGCAAGAATTTTATTTACAAGTCCCCGTGGAATAATAAGATTTCTCAAATTTCTGTCGAACATTCTCTTTTATTAGAAATTTCGAAAGATAAATGGTTATTAACTCGCGCAGCGATTTGAGAAACAGCTAAAGCTCTAAGAACCCGTTTAAACCGCTCATAAGTCCACCATTGTCTTCCACTTTCTACTCTGGCTCGCGGCAGTGAATCTCGCTCGTGGCAGAATTGAATGGATAACCCTTGATCGACCTTACGCAATCCGCGTCAAGATCATGTGCTCTCTGCTGAGATAAAAATTGCTCAGTTTTCCTGGCTCACCCCAATCTAGGTCGGAATGAACATCGTCAGTCCTAAAACCACTGTGATGATACTCTTCGGGTACAGGATCGAATAATCCGGTGAAGACGTTATAGGCCTCGGGATCAGACGCGTATATACCCACGATAGAATCAGGATTCACCGGGCCAAGACGCGAATCACGGGTCTATCAGGGTTAAGCCCCAAGTGGCCGCATGTGTCTTCAGTCCGTAGCAAAATTCTCGTCGGATATTTTTTTAACAAAACGTCATCTTTATTCGAAAATGGAATTGAACGTGTCGCGGCGATGTCGAAAATTCAGCTCATCCATATTTTTAACGTGACTTTTAAAGAGGACATTTCATAAAAATGTGACCTTTCTTAGCTATTTAAATGGTTTATCTCGTAATTGTGCCGTAGCACGTCGCTTGAAGGAAAATGTTGTCTCCGACCGAAATGCGAAGTCTTAATTATTTATCGGCTATTATCGTATTCCGATAAATCCGACGAGTATTAACGCTCTATCTGTCGTTTATGTCATTTTATGACGATGCTTTCGCGCATACTATTAATGAAACGTAGAACTTATAAATGCAGTCGTTTCATGCATTTTTTACGCACAGAGTTGTACAGATTATTCCAAGTATCACGTATTCATCGTTACATTTTACGCGAAGATTTGTCATGTTTAATTAAATTTTTTTTTAATTTTCTGGAGGTTAGTTTCAGCGTGACTTACAAGATAAAATTACATCTCGTTTAGTATGGCGTCATTATTTAATATTAGGTAGTATAATATCGACCGAGTGCAAACTGGAGAAGATATTTTATTTTATTCTACCTTTTGCCTGCACAAGCTCCATGTAAGTGTCTTCCAGTTCTTCTAGTTTCTCATCGTTTATCCTGACGGAGCTTGCCTTTTTTCGGTAAGCGCACGAGACCGCTGGTCGCATCTTTTTTTTCTACCTCTCTCCTCTCTCCCTGTCTCTCTCTCTCACTTCGTGTGATCGTAATCTTTTTTTCACACACTTGTCTTTTTCTATCCTATCTGCCGTCGTCTATCTTGGGTAATTTTCTCGTCTCCTCGCCCTGATTTCTTCGCCCATGCTCGAGGATGCATTTCACTCACAACGTTGGATTTTAATTACATATTTTTTCACGTACTTCTCGGTCTTCTCCTCTTCATATTTCCCTCTCCTCTCTCATGACAACCTTTCGCAGTCAGGCGAACTCTGTAGAAAGAGAGCGCAAAATTTCGACTCGAAAATAGCGGCGCTTTATGCAAGCAAAAACTCTTCGTTTATTCTGGATAAGACAGAAAATAAAACGTACGATTAAATGACGTAAAGACAGACTCGTATCCATTTTTGGAATACACTTATCTTTATTAACCAAGTTAAATATTTAAAAGTTTAAATGTTTAAAAGTATTTAAATTTACGTAATTGTTCACTTACTGTGCTAAAAGTGGTGACAATTGATAAGCATATTTAGTACAATTAATAATAAGTAGGAAATCGATTTAAAATAATAATACTTCTTTTTATCATTACATCCGACATTAAATTCGCATTACTTATCCTTTATTCCTCTTATCATTTTATATCCCAGTTATTATCAGAATTGATCTACATTTACCTGTATCACTGATCAATTTTACATGCAAGACCACTTTTACCTTGAATTGTATACGGTTAATCACACATAGTAATTTTTATTTGATTCTATATTAACACGTTAATCAGGACAGCATGTTCGACTCGATTAATATATTTTATCCTTTATTAATTTAATCTTACGTTTAATGATATCTTAAGTAACTTTAATATGTGCGTACTCAAAGTGCAAACGGTAATCTCTTACATTTTGCATAATAGCGCGATATTTATCTATGTTTTATATTATCAAATATTTCCGCATAAATTCAACTTCGACGTAATGAAAGCGATACCTATAGAAAGTTGAGTGGATAATGCTCTTCCATCTAACACCGCGCTTTTACAACTCAATAACGCATTCCGTGTTACACGTATATAGGCAAATGCCGCGGGTTATAAATTATGTCAGGAAACTTGGGTGCGAGAAGAATATCGGTGGCGCACGCAAAACTAAACAAACCTTTCACGAAGATCCTAATGACACGTAACGAACGCGACTGACACGAACTATGCTCGAACTTCAAAACGCCAGGGGTAGCTCTCGTGTAAATACTGAGGAGAGACAGGGAGAGAGATGCAAGAAAGTGGGGCGATATTACCCAGTGGTGAATGAATATGAAAATTAATTATACTCAAGTTGAGCTGTTGGTCGATGTCTGATAGGTTTGTCGAACGGCGGTTTATAAAATGTAGTGGGACGAAATCCTTTTTTAATAAAAGAAGGAGATACTGTCGGGATGAACACATTTTTAAGCTTCCTATAAAAAGTATTGCTTGCTACTGGCATTGTCTTGTACCAAGAAACTGAATTCAGTTCACGTATTTGCATTTAATTAACATATAATGAAAAATAAATTTCCAAAATTTCTCTTTCGGTCTCTATTGATCCATCATCGATAACGACGATCCGGACGCAAGCGAAGATAATGTTCGTTGTCAACCTCGCGAAAGAATGTCGAACTGAATGATTGTTTGACCAACGTCACAGCAATTTACTGTCATTCGCTTGTTTACTGTCATTTGTTTGTCGATCGATCGCGATGTCCACCGACGTCTCCTGCCGAACATTTGTTTGATTGGTAGTCTCGCCGGTCTCGCCGGTCTCACCCCTTCGAGCATCGGCGCGGTATCGTGCGATCTCGACAAATTATTTGGTAGTTATCGCTCTCTCTCTCTCTTTCTATCATGGACGACACCAGACTGTACATGTACTATCGAACGTCCGGATACGGTTTAAATTCGCTGGTCAGAAATGCGGATCGATTAGGTTACCCCCGGTTCCGTCGAGAATCTCAATTTTTCACGAATAATGGCTTCATTTCAGATATACCGATTTCTCATCGCTGATCACAATCTTAGACGGTCCTTCAACTTAAGTGCTTATTGCGCAGCTGTGACTTTCGCTACGTTGATCTTCGTAGTGATTGTGGCTGTCTGTTCGGTAGCAGTAAGTTTTGCCATAGAACAATTTTAATTACGAGCAATAGTTCCGTTTCGCTGCCGCAATTATTTTATCTCATTAGGCGCAGAATTTATCGGATAATTAACGAAAGGGTTTAGATTATATTAGCCACATCTAAAAAAAACCCCTTATCTGTTAATTAACTTTGTCCATAATAGCAAGCATGAAAGTGCATTCTATGCACAATTATTCAATTGATAGAGAAAATTCAAGTGGGCTTATTATTCTGGCAATTAATTTGCATATGATACCGTATGACTCGATACAATAATTAAAACGCCATGACAATACGAGTACACCATTCTATAATTAACTGTTTGCTTTAAATCCAACGCAATAATATTATTTCAACGTGTAATTAATCAAGGAACAATAAACGATCGAATTATCGATATATTCCCTATCGTATCGTGGTCGGTTTTTGAATAGATAACACGCTGGCCGTTATATATTTCGTACGAAAGAAAACGAGTCACGTATCTTTCGAAAACCTTGCCAGCGCCGAACTCTCTTGTCGGCTTAAAGAAAATGTAAACAACTTTGCGAGGCAATCGCTTGAATACTGATGTGTTCCCGCACGTGCCACGTTGTATCAAATATAATTCCTATACACTCACACACGCGCGCGAAAGGGTATGCCGTGTGTCTTCAATTTTGACGAAGGGGGATTTCAACGCAATAACGTTTGCTTTAATCATATCTCTCATGCGATAACGTTTGCTTTAATCCCAATCGAGGTAACGACGTTCAAAAGTTACAATTTCCAGCTTCAGGTAAATTTGCAAACGTAACAGTTTTTATTGATTTTCAGTCAATTACTTTTATTTCACGTCCGCGAGGTTCGCTTCTTGATTAGGAAACGGATTAGAAGGCACGCGCAATAATTCCGTATTAACAATTTGTACGGAGACGAGCAAACAATGATGGGGGGTCGGAAACGAATATATAAAATAGAATGAAAATTAGTTTAAAAGACATTTAATATGTTAATTGTTTCATACACTGAACTCTTTATTCTGATGCCAGAGTTCAAGTATGGTGACGTTGAACGATACGATTTTTCGCCAATTACTCGAGAAAGCGGGGAAGGTAAGTTGCGCAGTTTCGATAATCGCACGGCTAAATTGAAACTTGATTGAGGCTAGAGTGATCGCATTAAAAGCGTCAACGTTGACTGCCAATAATTTGTAGAAGTTACCGCGAATGGAGAGCGTCGTTAGCATCATACCTCCGTACAAATGTATCCACAAGCATGTAAGTTTGTTATTTAAGCACCGAACACGTTTTGAAGGGTACGGTTAATATTTGGCGTCACGCTGTCTAATAATTTCGATCTGCAGCTACAGCGGATGAGCGTATTCCAAGAGAAAACGAAGAAAATGGTGGGTATCGATAAATCCGTTCGGTCGCTCGCTACTCACGCTAATTAAATATTTTAATTTCCGGATTTCCGGATTTCGTTGCAACAGTTATGCAAAGAGCAACTGGAGCTGGAAATAATGAACAGCAAAATGTCGTGCATCGAGAAGCTATTGAAGCCCGAGGTAAATTATTTGTCGCGATAAATGGGGACACATTGCGCGTACGGGTCGTTACTAGAATAAATATAAAAAAAAACATTTGTTCCAAACTTGAGCGCTGTCCGCGCGCGTATCCTTTGTCGCGCGTTAATCCAGCGCCATTGATAAAAAATAATTGTCCCATGGCCCCCACGCGTCCCCGTTCGGAATTTACGCGCGATCATCAACCTTAAATAATTTAATAACCCGCAGGCCGCGGAGATGAATACGATGAAACTCGGTGAAACTCGTACAAAGGGATAAACCGTGGGCCGATCGCGAACTCGTTTTTAATTAAAATTTCGCCGCTGTCGAAGAATGAGCGATTTAATAAAACGCATTTATGCGATTTTCCGCGTATACGCGCGAGATATTGTTACGATAGAAAGAAGCATCTCTCTTTCGCTACACGCGGAACGACCTATAAACTCTGAATTACCAAAGGTCGTATAAACGTATCATGACCTCTACGACTTTCGGTCGTTGCGTCGGGCATTAGATCAGTCTCGGTATATCCGGCAGGCAGTTGCGCTCGATTGGCAGACATAAAATTAGATTCGACCCTATCTCAGACCTTTCTGTGGCTATCCGAGTTTATATTGCACGACGGGATATTTTTACTCATCTCGTTAATCGGTCCTCAGCGCGGATATTTTCGGTACTTTTGTCTTTAATTAAGCGTGTTACTTCTACTTCGTGCCGACAATAGAGCTGATACTCGCCATTGGACGCAAACTTCCGAATTAGCGAATCACTCAAGTGTATCATTAACGAGGCGAAATCGTACGAAAACTACGAGCTCTAAACGTCATATTCTCGTTAGAGAGAATTTCCGTTGTTCTTATCGTCAAACGATATTTTGTTCAATGGCCGTAATTGTCGAAACTTTCAGAGTCGTGATAACTTGGGACTTTAGGAATTTTTTTGCTTCGTTTCTTTTTAATTGATTACGAGCCTTTCCTGCGATATGCGCATCATTATATTAGGCGAATTAATTCATTTGCTCTCTAATATATAAAATTATTATTATTAATAAACTTATTGACGTGTAATAACAATCCATTTTGCATTAATTGAATATCGTCATGATATGAAAATGTGTTGATAGCAACTACGCCCGATTATTATGCTAATAATGTACCTATTAAACAAATATTATGTATAATTCTTTATTAATAGTAATCTCTCTTAGGAAGAGTCCAAGTGGCGTCGTAGTAGATCACCAAGGGTGTACCATCGTCCTATCGTGGAAGCGTCAAAGTAGCAAGTAATAAGATACAGAAAAGAAAGAACGATTTGATACGTGTATAAAATCTGACAAAATTTTATTCGCAATTTTCTAATTGACGTTCTCATTAACAATATATAATTGATATAAACATAACGATTGTTGTCTGCCGTTTAAAACACGCGGCATAAATTTTGTGGCACAGTGAACCGGAAATACACACTCGTTACATATCCTCGTTGACTCTAGGCATTGACTTGATCCTTTGTGATTTGCTAAATGTCCGAAAATTATATAGGAATTATTAAGCCCGTTTCCTGTATTTATGAGTGCAGAGCACAAGTTATAACGCTGTAGTACATTAAACGCGAGTTAATACAAAACTTAGCGAATTATAATTGCGTCGAGGAAACATTTTCACACGTGGTGAAAAAACAATTGCATACAATGGTCACGTCATCGAAGTTGGAGGTTTTGCGTCGTTGCTCCGCATCCTTGTTCAAACACACGTAATTTTCGCACGATCAACATGCAAAGCGGTATAAATCATGACCGATTAAATGGACCGTGTATCGCGTATAAACGCGCAGTCTTTCTGACAAAATTTTTACATTGAAATAGGCGACGATGTGTGCAGGGAGCTGAAACTCCAGTACGTGCCGAAACTCGACGAAAAAAAAAAAATGTGGCGACCTTTTTGCGGTCTACCACATGTGAACGATGAGTGCTGTTGCGTTCTGTAAAAAGTAAACGCCATAGCGTCGCTTACGTTGCTCTTCCATTCTTCAATATTCAACCGTGTCAGACCATGTTATTTCAGAGCGTGTTCGCGAAAGTTATTAAAGTCGATCGTTCCGAATGTATCGCACATTTCTTTTTATTTTAATACGTTTCACGTTACACGTGTAATTATACGTAGACATACTCATTCTGACGACACGTAAAAATTGAAATCGCCAATACGCTACGATCCGTGTCAATTAAAAAGTTATCAATTAAGTGTCGATTAACTTGAACTACTTTCTGTTCGGGAATACCCGATTCAAACGCAGCTGAAAATTCTATGGGACGAATTTTTCCCGATTGATTCGGTGATAATAGATTGTAGAGAGAAATCGGACCTTATTCCCAGTAAGATAAAATGAAAATTATTTCTAAAACAGCTCCGTCCAACAACAAATCGATCAAGTCTTAAGATCGAGAAGCCTCTTGAATATATCGGTGATATACGTAACGTGACAATAAGAGCTATTGTGAGGGCAACACCATTGTCTCGAGACAATAACCGTGAAAGTTTAACAGTATTATTCAACTCGGAAATAAGAAGAGGCAATTTAGCATGATTGCAATCACCCGAACTTCAACGTCTATTATCTCAGGACGATCACGCGTGCTACACGCTTGTGATACACGTTCGCAAAATGTGCCTACGCAAAACTTATCATTAATATAATCAGGGTTGGGAAAGTTACTCTATGAAAGTATCTAGTTACAGTTACAGGTTTTTCGCTAAAAACTAGTTACAGTTACAAGTTACCAATTCTGAAAAGTAACGCGTTACAGTTACTCAAAAAGTGACGAATCGTTACTTTGCAGTTATTTTCTTGCAATGAACGTAAAAATATCAAATCTGCGTTTGAATTATTAAGTGTCGATAAAAGCGTTTGTGCGCAAATGCAAGACCTAATGCGATCTGCAGAGGTTTAAAAAATGTATAAAGTAATTATTAATGTAACTATTAAATTAGTTACTAGTTATCGAAAAAATGTAACCGAGTTAAATTACAATTACAGATGGAGAGAAAGTAACGAAGTTAGAGTTACCAAAAAAGTAACTGTAATTGTAACTTCGTTACAAGTAACGAGTTACTTCCCAACCCTGAATATAATTAGTCTTGACTATACGCAGTAAAAAATAAAATGTTAATGTTAACGTTTCTTACATGTCCCAAAAAGTCCACTCTAAATTTTAAGTTAAAATAACATTCATCGCGCGTGTTACTGTTTGACAAATTATAAATGTTAATCAATCAATACTATACTTCACATTTATATTTCTGTTCTTTCAACCCTAAGTGTGATGTAATAAAAACAGACAGGATAAGTAAACTACACGAATAGTTACAGATCAGAATAGTTGAGATAATTTTGAAGAAATGTCGATATTAATGGTTTCGGTTGATTTTGTGAAAAAGTTGTGTTAAAAGAGCACAAAATAGTATTCAATTTTTAAATAACATACATAAAGTGTCAAGTTATTATGTTAACATAAATATAACACATAAAAGTATTACGAAAATAATATAATATACGTTTTATGTTAATTTTACATTGAAGTCAGAATCAAATCTTGGTAACATGAGAAAATTTTGACATTTAAACACACAATTTTTTACCGTGTAATCATGATAAATTCATATTGCGGTGAAAAAAAAATAGAAAAAGATCGGAGACAAAAATATTAAGTACGTCTGATTGTGTATGTACGTACAAATGTAAATAATTCGCGTTTCCTTTCATTTCGAGAATATTCAATTAAAACAGATAAATCTAACATTTTTTAAGTAAGGAAGTGTCACGAAAGCGTGTATTACGTTATAAATAAAAAATTTTAAGAGGACAAAGTGAAGATAGAAATAATCGTGCGAACTACTTTCGTAATTCTTTCTAAATTGAGCTAAGATAATATTATCTTGCAAAGTAATATCTTACGCTATGCGACCTATATTTCGTTTATGAATTTCGATTTCTATTTCCGATTAAAGTTTACTCACCCCTGGTGCCGACCGATCCGCGCGCACCGTCTCCCTCTTCTTTTCTCGCGCGGGCTTACGGATGTCGCCAGTAGTGTCGGTCCGGACTGTCGCGGCGCGGCCGAGTCTGGCCACAGCCGTCTGTTTCCACTTTCGATCCCCCGCGCCACGGCGGGGTTGGAGAGACTGGCTCAGGAATTGAACGCGGCTACGTGGCGTACGAGAACAGGGTCTTTGCTCCCGTTTAATATTTTAGCCAGTCCATTGGCTGCTGCCGCTCGAGGCATCGACATGCGCTCTGGCTTTCGGCCGGCTCCGTTCCGCTCGGCTCGGCTCGGCACGGCGCGGCACGGCACCGCACGGCACGGCACAGCACGGCACGCCGTGCTGTTCGCACGCCTCGTTACGTCAGACCGGACTTTCAGCTCCGGGCTTCTATCTAACGAATGCGCTGCGCGGCATCCGATATCGATATGGGGATGAGACGGATCGATTTGCGCCGCGCGCGCTCGGCCTGTTTATTCGGCCATCGATCCCGCAGTTATCGAACCGCGTATAACCGCAGCGGCCGCTTACGGTTCGGGAAGTGTTGCATTCCGACCGATTCGCGAGAATCGGACCTGGAAGGGACCTCGTTATAAACGGTAGATCGTTACCGTATCGTTAAACTCCATTTTCCCTGTCCCTCCTCCTCCGCGGCAACTTTAATCCCAATATCGGCGATACCTTTTCCTTCCCTACCGATCATTTTCTTAGACTTTGGACTTGAATTGGCAATCGTGTTTTAATACGAAGCAATTGTTACGGGAACACGACGTATTCATTTGATAACATCGAAAGTCCTGATACCTCGGAGAACAATAGAATCGTTCGATATTTTCAACTTATGATATATGGAGCCACGTTTGATGCTTGTGGGAACTAACGCGAGGGAATATTTCATGTTTGCTCGATGTAACGTTGATGAATGGATAATATTCGCCAAGTTTGGAACCTAAAGCTAATTCTTCCGTGCGAAATATTCCGTAAGCCGCGGACCACGTGTTAACGTCACAAAGAAATAATTGCCGAATCTTGATGCGGGCGCAACGTTACGGTAGACATTTGCTTTTAAATAGCTGCGGTATCTGCGCGGCTGTCCTGGACGCGGCGGTGAAAAGTATTAACAATTTTCGTTCGACTTGAAAATTCAGCGGTAACGCGGCCTCCCCTGCCTCGACCCACCATCTCCGGGTTTTTAAACCCCGTGAAACGGCAACCCGAGTGTTGACGTTGGAGAATCGGGTATAGAGTAGCTTCTATATCTCCCGTACACTACGTGGTCACTGAACCGTGCGGAGAATTTTTAAAGTAGAAGAAACCTTACAGCACACAGACTATCGCCGGCATAGCGTAGACGTCTAAAAGCATAATTCGCATGCTTGCCGCATGCTGTAAAGCCGCGTGTCTATATAATTAAGTTTAGTGTAGCGAAGGTATAGGATTGTGACGTAGGGCCGAAGTTAGTTCGGCAGCGGGAATTCAACAGATTTAATAAACTTGATATTAAATCACGGCGAATATTAAATCTAGGATACAATTTTGAGAACGAGTTTGCGAAATGTCTACGAGCACGTGAAATTAGTACGTTGAAATTGATAACGGTATGAAGGATTGATCGATGTTTGTGCTTCTAATACGCGATTCGGCGTGGCTTCTTTTGTCGTCCATCGGCTATAGTCGGCAAAGCCATATATATGCCGATCGGCATTTTGTGCCGACTGGCATAGATCGATTGACACGTATTCAGTAACGGGCATTGCCCAATGAGCTTGTTGATCGGCAAAGCCGATTATAGTAAGGGCTGCAGAAGGCGCCTTAAAGCAGAAACATTCTCGCGAGTTATGTGAAAATAGGTACGTCAGAAAAGAATGTCGAGTCGAGCGTGGCATGACGCGATTTCAGATTAGATTATTAAAAAGTACAACTTATTTTGTGCCGGCTCCGCGATTGCGTACGAGTCGATTGTTCTTTCTTATTCATGGCGCGATCAAGCAGCTGTAGAAGGGAAATGGCCCAAGAGTATGTACTTTTAACAAGTGTTTTTCAAGATTTGTTCGAACTGACGTTTAATATTTTATCCCGCAAAAGTGGCTCGGCGCAAATGTAAATTGATAACGATTACATATTTTATCAGGGCAGATGGACGTGTTATGCCGATGCTTGGCAATACTGGATGTGGTAATACAATTTGGGAATGACTTCGGTTGTAGACGGAATTACACGAAAACCCCATTTATTCTACGTGTCGATAAGCCTTTGAGAAATCGATCGTACCGCAGCCGGCAGGTTGTTTATGCAAGTGTCGGTTACGTTACCACGCCGATAGCCTCGTTTGGCAAGTGTCTCGCGTCGCCATGCTTTACCGCGAAATAACCCAATAGCTCTGACACGTATCTCTGTAACGCTCGAACTTCGGAAATTTCGGACACGCGGCCGACAATGATTTCGCGTTTATGGACGTGGTTTTCGCACTCGTCCCCGTAAGGACTTTGCCCATGTAATCTAGATTAAACCGACCAAAACCAACGGATATTGTCGTTTACACC